AGCCAACTCGTACCAAATCGAGCTTGAAGAGGTATTACCAAACCTGTGTAGCGTCATTCTTGATGCCTCAACGTGTAACGGAGATAGATGAAGATTCTTCTCCAGCTCATCTATAAGTGCTCTACCTCCAGCATGGATACAGAAATGCTCGAAAGCCAGCTTGAAATCCGGCATGTAATGCCTGATCTTGGGGTTGAAAAACTTCTTTTTAACGAAAGTCACAAAGAAGAGAAGCTTCTCGCTTAACGGTAGAACAAGCGGACCCAACGTTGCGATGTTGATCTTTAGGGTTCTTGCAGCTACCACAGGTAGATCCTTCGACAAGGAAACTCCAACTATGCCATCTTCATCCTCTTCTTGTAACGCACATCCATAGGATCGGTCATCTGCCCCGGTGTGGACCCGCACGGTGTGAACAAGCTTGTACTTTGCGCGTTTTCGGTCTTTAGACAAGTTAGAAAGCAAAACCGCGGCCCCGCCTATCCGGAACAAACAATTTGTAACCAACATTGACTTGTTGTTACCTAAGTACAAGTTTTGAGTGATGTTCTCCGTGCTGACCACAAGAGCATAAGTGTTTCTATGAACTTGTAACAAACTCTTAGCGACATCAATAGCAATAACTCCAGCACTACACCCCATCCCACCAAGATTCAAGCTCTTTATATCAGACCTAAGCTTATATCTGTTCACTATGATCGTTGATAGCGAAGGAGTTGGATTGAAAGTGCTTGAGTTCACCACCAATATACCTATATCACTCGGACTAACGCCGGTGTTACGGAGCAGATTTTCGACCGCTTTTAATATAACTTCTTCCGTCTCTTTGCGCGACGCAGCCATCGTTTGTTCTAGCGGCAAACGATGAAGACCTTCCGGTACGTATGTCTCTTGGCCGAGACCGGAACGTTCCAGAGGATGGGTCGTGAAGTGTACGGTGGAGACTCTAGTGGAGACGACAAAATGAAGGACCTATACAACAAAGGAGTCCACGTTGGTTCATTGGGTTTGATGATTAATGCAATTGTTCTTGGAGTTGTGTCCCTTTTTATTGAATGGCTTAGTCAGAAAATGGGAGGAGCTAAACGGCTTTGGGGAGCTGTCAACTTTATCCTTGCCGTGTGTTTGGGTTTGACGGTTTTGATTACAAAGTTGGCGGAGGCTCACAGGAAAACCGCTGGTGCGTTTGCCGGTCCAACCGATGCGATTAGAGGTGGAGCATTGACAATCTTTGCTTTTCTTGGAATCCCTCTAGCTGTAAGTCCAGCTTGGCCTTTCATAATTTTTTTTTTCCAGTTATGATACTATTAATATCCACTCGTTATTATTATTTTTTTTAAACGTACTAACCATAATTTTTGGTTATTATGATAGGTTACTTTTAGTATTCCGTTTGCACTAGCTTCCATTATCTCAAGCAACTCCGGTGTCGGCCAAGGTATTTTAACTTTTTTTTTCCATTTTCTTATTTAATGCCTTATGTATGTTATGATAATAAATACTCCCTCTGTCCCATATTATAAGCATTTGAGCAAAATAAATCTGAAAAAAGTGGATGTATCTGGATGGAATTCAGTCCAGATACATCCATTTTTTTTCAGATTCATTTTGCCCAACTGCTTATAATATGGGACAGAGGGAGTATTACTTGAAACGTATGATGTTAGTAGTTATTTTGAGAGACCTTAATTTTCCTTTATTGACAAGAAAAAAACAACTAAAGAGTTTATGGATTTTTTTTCCACTATTTGGCTCATATCGACAAAATTATCCAAAACATTATATATTTTATTAATTGTATTAAAGATTTGATATTCATTGATTTTGGTCTAGTATATTGAATTTACCAAACCTGTATAGATAAGATCATAAGAAACAGATTCTTTTTAAGCTATTAAAGGATGTTGTTCAATTTTACAGGACTTTCTCTTGGAGTACTAAATTTGGCAATCGTGATACCACAAATGGTGGTGTCACTTGGAGGTGGGCCTTTCGATGCGTTGTTTGGAGGTGGAAACTTACCTGGATTTGTGGTCGGAGCAATTGCAGCGGCAGTTAGTGGTGTGGTGGCGTTAACAGTTCTTCCTTAGTTTTCTACTTGTTTGTTTCTTTTAATGGTCAACACTAGTATCATTGAATTAGGATGATTACAAATGAAAAATGTATAATGATAGTGTTTAACATTGCAAATATTGGAATATATTTATATTAATTACTTGTTTTTAAACATAAAATAAATTATAGTAAATTCATAATTATGTTTAAATTAATCATTTAACTAGGTTGGTCTAATTGGAAACTTGAATGTCTCTTATCATATAAGAGTAATGAAGTCAAATAAGAAAAATAAATATGACTATTGACATCTGTCGTTTGACTCACTTCTAAGATAGATATATTATCATCATTATTATATACTCCCTCTGTTTCTAAAAACTTGATGTTTTAGATATTTCACACATATTAAGAAATAATTAATGTTAGTTAAAAGTGTATCATTTTCTCTCTCATTAGTTACTTTTTATAAATATGAACCAATAGAATTAAAAATTATTCTTGGAATTCATAACTAAATAACATTTGTTGGTAAAATATATTTTAAAAAGCTAAAACATCAAGTTTTGTGGAACAAATAAATTTTCTAAAACATCAAGTTTTCTGAAACAGAGGGAGTACTAGATAATGCCCCGCTTATTTTAAGATTTTTGAAACAATTTATGAAAAAAAAAATATGAGTTCTCGTAAAAGTAAGTAAAATAATATTGAAAATCCGGTAAAAAATATCTAAAAAACATACGCTACTTCAGTTTCACCATACACATAATATTCATGTAATGATTCTGTAAAAAGCAAATTATAATCACACATATATATATATATATATATATATATTAAGTATTTATGAAATACGTACTCATCTCTTTTCATTATGTGATGCAGGTAAAAGATAAATGTGATCGCGGAATCAAGACAGAATGAGGGAATAATAGGATTTATTGTTTTAATTGTTTAAGTTGTTAGAACCTGGTGTTAAGGTTGCTAGTATTTTACATTTTTAAATTATTTGTTGAATGATTTGATTACGGTTTAAGAACTGTTAGATTGGTAGAACTGAGACTGTATGGTTAATTGATTATATGAGGTAGTCAGTTATTTGGTTTAATATGAATTTTTTTAATCGAACCATATAATTAAACCAAATCATCTCTATAATATTAAAAATATTTTAATGTGTAATTGTTGAAAATATTTATATCAAAATATTAAAATATTTTTATCAAAAGGTAAATATTATAAATACAAAAATATTAAAACTTTACTAATCTTAAAATATTATATTATTATTGATTCAAATTTCTTAATATTAAAGAAATTTTATTTGATCAAGCATTTAAAATTTAATAAATATCAAATATTATAAATATATTGAAAGTCCCACGTTGGAAACGAAGATGTACGGTGGTTCATAAACCTATGATTAACAAGAAACTATAAGAATATGAAGACTGATTTAATAAGCAATCACGAATTATAAGTAATTTTGGTTTAATATAGTTTTTAATAGAACAAGTATCACATAAAAACTAATTAAATTACATTTCTTTAAATAATTTATTTACTTATTTAATAACATATTCTGTAAATTTTTTATTCTGCGTAGGACGCGGGTCCAACCCTAGTTGATGTAAGTATTTGAACTATCATTGGTATATTCTGTTTGGGAATTCTTTTGAAGTAGGATTTCAAAATCGTTTTCATACTCCCTAAATTCTAACTTCGTTTGAATAGAGTTTTTTTTTTAGTACAATAAAGCAATCTCTAATATATTAACAGAGAAAATATTAAAAGAATAATCTTATACTCATGAGTTATTAACAGAATTGTCATGTTGATGTGTTAATACCAAAATCACTTTCAAGATAAATGTAAAAAAAGACATTACTTACTACAATATTTACATGCAATGCCATTAGTACACAATATTTTAATGGTTACAAATATGAAAGGTTTTCATATATCATCCATTAAACAGCATAAATAATGTATAAAACACTTACTATAAATATTATTAAAAAAATATAGATATATTTCAAAATTAATCATAGATTTTTTTTAATATATATGTTTTGTTCACATATTCCTTTTGTATAAATATATAACCAATTGATCTTTTTTAAATTATGCTTCCACTTAAAAACATAAATTATGTAAAAAGCATTTAAAGGCTTTCGAAAATCGAATACTGATACAAATAATTCAAAATTAGTGATACAACTTTTTTTCTCAATATACTGGACTTCTAAACAAAGGTTTTCCAATAGATCTCATACAAAATTATAAACTCCTTTTACTGTTATAGACAAATAATATTTGAATTTGTATTGGAGATTTTCTAATTGTATGATGATTTTCAAATTCTAACAACAAAAACCTTAGATACAACAATATCTTCTTCTCTTTGTATAAATACTATTTTGATCATCAATTCTATCGAGATTGTTCTTCTTTTATCATTTTCCAAAATTTTCTTCTTGTTTCTATTTCTCTACCAAAGTCACTAACATAATGTGAATGTTTGTTTTACTAATTAAGTGATTAAATTCTAAAATGGAATTTGTTTGAAAGAAAGGAGAATAATTAAAAAATTAAAACAATGTTTTCACCGAAAATATAATATAATGAAACAAAATATATCCCAACCGAACTAACTAAAAATCGAGACTATCTGAACTGAACCAAACCGAAATAAGTATAGTTCTAATTTAATTGGTAGCTATTTTTTAATAAATGAATATAGTCTTATCTAATGAGAAAGTCTTCTCTTCATCTAGATAGTCATATCAGCAGTTTTAACATTAAATAAAAATAATTATTTCATACAAATTTATATTAATTGTTACTTTTATTTAACATATAGTATGAAGTTTTAATAAAATATAAAAAATCTAAATAAATAAAAAAGAAAAATTATTTGTTAAAAATTTAATGTTAATTAGATAAAATAAATATTTATGAAATGATATTATACTTATTATTTTAACCAGAAAATGTATTTATATTTGTCCTATTTAAATTTATAATGTATTTTCATTGATGTAGTGTAAAATAAAACAAATGAATAATTTATAAGTTATGTACACCATTTGAGAGTTAAACAATATATACATTTCTGTAAGATGAATTTAGAAATTGAAAATATGTAAAATAAGTACAAAGTAAAATAAATAAATAACAGTAAAACCAAAAATAAAATAAAATATAGAGATCAAATAATTGTAAATAGCCAAAAATAAGTGAAGGAAAGAGTGTTAGGAGATTAAAAATTTGAAAGAAAAAAACAACAATATCTAAGTTGTCATGAACTTTTTTTGCAAATTTGTTCTTGAAAAATAGAAAGTTTAGGTATATATTTTGTTCTTCTGCTTATCCTATACTATAAACACGTCAACATAGGGGAGAGTGCCACGTAGCATTTTTTTTTTTTTTTTGTTCAAGAAACTCAAACCGTCACGCCCATTCATCTCTTTGTAACTCCAACTTTCAATGATATCACTAATTTGGAAAAAAAAAAAAAAAAAAAAAAGCGAAACAATCGAAAATCCCTTTTGCCTCTAGGGCACAAAGGGGAAGCCTTTTAGGAATCAACACAGCAAAAACCCTGTGCCTTTCCAGGTGATGACAGCTCAGCTTTTTTAAGCCTGGAATTGACAGTCATTTAAAATAGCCAGCCAATAGAAACATTTTAATTAATCACAGTCAGCAGCTTTCTTGGTTTATTTGCAATGTTTTTGACTCGGTTTAGTTGGTTTATTTCTTTTTTCTTCCATTAGCCGGTTTCGTTTCATTCTTCTCTTCCACAAATCGAAGCCATTCACCTGAAGAAATCTCGGCTAAAGAAATCTCTCCGTCCCTGTCCCCGTCAACAAAAAGCACGTAGATTCCACGTATCTCTCTTCTATGATTATAGCTTCTACTTCTTCCAACGATTTATCATAGCAACAATTTCATATTTTCTTCTTTAATTTATATCGACACCAATCCTTCCAACTAAGTTTCACTGCCATGCTCTCAAATCTCACTACGACCACCAATTAAAGAAGAATCTCGTCGAGAAACGGAGGTAACGCTTTCAATCACAAATTCTTTTACTCTTGGTTTTTATGTCGTTAAATCAGGTTTCAAATCCGACCAATCTGTGATTGAATCAACATAGATGTGTTAAATGGGGATGACCCTCTCTTTCCATGGATCGAGTGAGTTTCGTTTCTTTCTTGATTTCAACAATGCAAAGAGAGGTCTAGCCCATGAGTTTTTCGCATCTCCGAAGCCACCGGAGTTTCAATACAGCTCAAGTGTAACTAATTAGTATCTCCTCTCTGCTCATTTTGATCAAAGTTTATGCTTTTATTTGTGGGTTTTGATCTGTGACTGTGAAACTAAACCTCCCACTCATTTTGATTAAAGTTTGAGGTTTTGATGTGAGACTGAAACTAAACCTCCAAATTTTGTGTGATTTGGTCTTGAAGCTGTAAATATACTCATGGGATATGGACGAAACAGCATGTGGAAGCCAATCGTGGATGTTGTTCATGCCAAAGGTGACATCTCCTTCTGTCAGATTTGGCATGTTGGTCGTGTTTATAATCGATGATTTAGCTCTCCAAACGGCTAAGTACTGAAGAAATTTCAGGCATTATCAATAATTTTAGGCTCACAACAAGAAACGCTATGGAAGCTGGTAAGAGATAAAACGAAGGATTGAAACATAAGAATCTTATTCAAGACTTTTATATATGTTTACTTGAATGTTGTTGTTGTTGCAGGTTTCGATAGCGCTATCTAAAAGACCACTTCATGAAAGACACGGTGAATGACATAACAGAAGAATACGGTGAATTATGTAACATCCATAAACCAAAAATTGGGAATTTTGTCGGTTCAATTTAAGTGATTTGGTTTGGGTCGGTTTAGTGGAGAAAGCCCTAAAATCAAGTTTAAAGAGTGCAGCCGTCTTCTCTTTGGAGAATTTTCGAGTTCAGGCTGTAGAGGAGAAAAGTGGAGTTTTTGGAGAGATTTTCGAAGTTTTACTGTTCATCGGGTTACTGTTCATCTGCGATTCGGCACTGTTCATCGTCTTCCTTTTTCCTTCAGTTTCAATCCATTGTCAAGGTGAGTGCATGACTGTGGGTCCGCGATTTGCTAGATTAGATTTGGTTTGTGGTTGTTCTTGATGAGTTTATGTGTTTAATTGTTATTTCATGATATTTTGGTTGTTTATGTGGTGAATTGTGTGTTGGTTTAATCTGGTTTAATTGATTTAATTGATTTGATTTATTTATCTTGTTTAATTGAATTTAATTGATTTACTGGTTTATCTTGGTTTAATTGAATTTAATTGGTTTATTTGGTTTAATTGAATTTAATTGATTTATTGGTTTATTGGTTTAATTGAATTTAATTGGTTTAATGGAATTAAATTAGATTTAATTCGGATTTAATTAATTAAATAATATTTATTTAATTAATTGGTTTAAAATAATTATTTTAATTATTTTAAAATATGAAAATTATTATTTAATTATGAGAATTATTTAATAATTGAGAAATTGAGTTTTAATTATTAAAAATTATTTAATAATTGGAAAATGGTATTTAATAATTATTGGAGTTTATAAATATTATTAAATATCTAGTAAATTGCGTAAATGGCTCGTAGGCAGAGTGATTGCCTCACTAAGTATTTATTAAATACTTACGCAACTCCATTCCAATGTGTTGCAGGTAAAAGATTTGTGTGATCGCGGAATCAAGGCTGAAGAGGGGGATGATAGGATGTTTACTGTTTTATTGTTTTGCATTATTTTGCTAGACTTGTTTAATTATTATTTGCTTCCGCTGAGCTGATTTATTTGTTATTGATATTTTATTTATTTAATTTATTTTAAAGACCTTCGCTAGAATTGATTAATTTATTAAAAAAAAAAAAATGTTGGTTGTTTCATTTTGGTATCAGAGCCTAGACGGTTTTAGGACTGTTAGAATTGCTAGGCTTAGTATCATCCCCTTCAGCTACAAGAGATTCCGCGGTGAGTTTATGTTTGTTTTGAGTTTTGGTTGCGTGTTCTAGTGTGCTCTTTTCGGTTCCATGAGTGAGATGGACGAGTAGCTAGAGGTTGTGGCGCGAGAGGGCGCGGTGCTCGAGGCCGTGGTGGCAGAGCTAGAGGCCGGGGCCGAGATTGTGGACTTCGGCGGATTCGGGAGAGAGTGTGGCGCCTAGTGTGGCGATTGCGTCGGTGACCCAGTCGGTATCCGTGGCGAGTGAGGCCAGTGTGGATGCGAGTGTTGGTTTGGGAGCGGGGGCTGCTCCGGGTTGGGGTGGTGCTCCGGCTCAGGGTCTTGATGACTTAGTGGTGGGTTTGCTGACGCAGTTATTGGCTCGTTTTCCGCCAGTGGTTCCACAGGGGCTCCGGGAGTACCTCCAGTGGCAGAGGTGCAGCAGAGGGCTGCGGGTTTGTTCAGCCGCAGGCTGTGGGTTTGTGGTGCCGCCTATCTTGGATATGATGGGGCACATGCAGAGGATTGGTACGCCGTACTTTGAGGGCGGAGTTAGCCGAGGCGGCGAGTGTGTCAGAGATTGGAGCGGAATTTCCAGTCTATCAGATTGTCTGGTTTAGTATCAGGTGGAGTTAGAGTCCACTATCTGAGTGGTGACGCGCATTTTTGGTGGTTGTTTGTTTTTTTGTCTGTGATAGAATTGTTAGGTTCTCAACGCATGTGTTCGTAATGACCTTGTTAGTGGGCGGTTTTGAGTCCCACGTTTTATTCGACTCTGGAGCATCGAATTGCTTCATTACACCGGAGCGTGCCGAGAAGAGTGGCATCCGGAGTAGCGCGGGCGAGAGCGCGGGCATGGTCAAGGTGGCGGGAGGTGGATTCTTGTCTACTTTGGGCCGTGCTAGAGGAGTCGAGATCGAGATTGCGGGGCAGTCAATGCCAGCAGACTTAGTCATCAGTCCGGTGGAGCTGTATGACGTTATTCTCGGGATGGACTGGTTGTCACACTACAGAGTTCATCTGGATTGCTACAGAGGTAGAGTGGTCTTCGAGCGAGATGCAGGGAGGTTGGTTTATCAGGGAGTGAGACCGACTTCCGGGAGTATTGTGATATCTGCTATTCAGGCCGAGCAGTTGTTAGAGCGGGGCTGTGAGGCGTATCTGGCGACGATTTCTATGTCTGAGTCAGGAGCTGGAGTTGTTATGGGAGATATTGAGGTTGTCCAGGATTTTGAGGATGTCTTTCAGTCACTGAAGGGATTACCACCATCTCGGTCTGATCCTTTCACGATTGAGTTAGAGCCGGGGACAGCACCGATATCGAAGACGCCTTACAGGATGGCGCCAGCTGAGTTGGCAGAGCTGAAGAAGCAGATAGAGGACCTTTTGTCTAAGGGGTTCATTCGACCGAGTGTTTCACCGTGGGGAGCACCGGTGTTGTTTGTGAAGAAGAAGGATGGAGTTTCAGACTTTGTATCGATTACAGAGGTCTTAACCGAGTCACTGTGAAGAACAGGTACCCACTCCCGAGGATTGATGAGTTGTTGGATCAGTTGAGGGGTGCTACTTGGTTCTCCAAGATTGACTTGGCATCGGGGTATCATCAGATCCCGATAGATGAGGCAGATGTCAGGAAGACTGCTTTCAGGACGCGTTATGGGCATTTTGAGTTTGTGGTTATGCCTTTCGGTTTGACTAACGCGCCGGCAGCCTTCATGAGATTGATGAACGACGTGTTCAGGGAGTATTTGGACGTGTTTGTCATCATTTTCATTGATGATATTCTGGTATACTCGAGGAGTCAGGAGGAGCATGCGACTCACTTGAGGTTGGTTCTGGAGAAGCTTCGGGAGCAGAAGCTTTTTGCTAAGTTGAGCAAGTGCAGTTTCTGGCAGCGAGAGATGGGATTTCTTGGCCACATTGTTTCTGCAGAGGGAGTTTCTGTGGATCCGGCTAAGATTGAGGCTATCAGAGATTGGCCTAGACCTAGTAGTGCCACCGAGATCAGGAGTTTTCTGGGTTTGGCAGGATACTACAGGAGGTTCGTCAAGGGGTTTGCTACCATGGCGCAGCCGATGACGAAGTTGACCGGGAAGGATGTCCCGTTTGTTTGGTCAGCTGAGTGTGAGGAGAGCTTTAGTCAGCTCAAGGAGATGTTGACTACTACACCAGTGTTGGCGTTACCCGAGCCAGGGAAGCCTTACATGGTGTATACAGATGCTTCAGGCATTGGTCTTGGTTGTGTGCTGATGCAGGAGGGCAGAGTGATAGCATATGCTTCGAGACAGTGGCAGGGCAGTGAGCGTAACCGTCCTACACATGACTTAGAGTTGGGAGCAGTGATCTTCGCGTTGAAGATTTGGAGGTCTTACTTGCTAGGTGAGACAGTACAGGTCTTCACGGATCACAAGAGTTTGCAGCATATCTTCACTCAGCCGATGATGAACGCGAGACAGACGCGCTGGGTTGAGTTCTTGGCGGACTATCAGGTGAGCATTAACTACCATCCGGGCAAGGCTAACCTAGTGGCGGACGCGTTGAGTAGACGGAGGTATGATTCCGCAGTTGAGCGAGATGTGGAGTCTCTAGTTGGCGAGATCAGTACCTTGCGTTTGTGTGCCATTTCGCAGGAGCCTTTGGGTTTAGAGGCAGTGGATCAGGCGGATCTACTTAGCAGGATCAGAGTTGCTCAGCAGAGTGATCAGAGTTTGCTGGATGCGACGAGAGTGACTGGTTCTGAGTATGAGGTCTCTGCGAATGGGACTATCTTGGTTCGTGGGCGAGTTTGTGTGCCTAAGGATGTGGAGTTGAGACATCAGATTTTGGGAGAGGCTCATGCGAGCAAGTTTTCCATTCATCCAGGAGCGACCAAGATGTACCATGACCTCAAGAGGTACTATCATTGGGTCGGGATGAAGAGGGATGTAGCAGACTGGGTTGCGAAGTGCAACACTTGTGCCTTGGTGAAGGCAGAGCATCAGGTTCCGGGTGGTCTTTTGCAGAGTTTACCCATTCCAGAGTGGAAGTGGGACAGGATTACGATGGATTTCGTGGTTGGACTACCTGTTTCGAGGACTTTCGATGCTATTGGGTGATTGTGGATCGGTTGACTAAGTCCGCACATTTCTTGGCCATCAAGAAGACAGATGGAGCTGCTGTCTTGGCTAGGAAGTTTGTGCGAGAGATTGTGAGGCTGCATGGAGTGCCAGCTAGTATTGTGTCAGACCGTGATCCCAGATTCACTTCAGAGTTTTGGAGAGCGTTTCAGGCAGAGATGGGCACTAAGGTGCATTTGAGTACAGCTTATCATCCGCAGACAGATGGTCAGTCAGAGAGGACTATTCAGACTTTGGAGGATTTGCTGAGGATGTGTGTGTTGGATTGGGGTGGCCATTGGGCAGATCACCTGAGCTTAGTTGAGTTTGCATACAACAACAGCTTTCAGGCGAGTATTGGCATGGCTCCATTTGAGGCTTTGTATGGGAGGCCATGTAGGACACCCCTATGCTGGACCCAAGTGGGGGAGCGCAGCATGTATGGAGCTACTTATGTTCAGGAGACGACAGAGAAGGTTCGTGTTGTGAGGCTGAACATGAAGGAGGCTCAGGATAGGCAGAAGAGTTATGCAGATAGACGCAGACGAGAGCTTGAGTTTCAGGTGGAGATAGAGTTTATCTCAAGATGGCTATGTTGAGGGGTCCTAACAGATCCATAGCAGAGAACAAGCTGAGTCCGCGTTTTATGGGTCCGTTTCCAGTAGTGGAGCGAGTTGGGCCATTGGCTTACAGGCTGGAGTTGCCTGAGATTATGAAAGCCTTTCACAAGGTTTTTCATGTGTCGATGCTGAGGAAGTGTCTTCACCCTACAGAGGAGTTAGTGGCTAGGATTCCAGAGGATCTTCAGCCAGATTTGACAGTGCCGGCAGTGCCTGTGAGGATTTTAGAGAGGAGGGAAAAGGTTCTGAGGAACAAGAGGATTCCCTTACTGAGGATTTTGTGGGATTGCAGTGGTTCTACAGAGGAGACTTGGGAGCCAGAGGCAAAGATGAAGTTGAAGTTCAGGAAGTGGTTCGACAAGCAGGTCGAGGAGTGAGCTTATTTCATCTTTGTAGCCTCAGTTGTTTTTTTGGCTTTGGTGTTATTGTATTTTCGTTTTCGTTGTAACGATATACATTTTGGAGTTTTAATGAGATGCAGTTTTTCCTCATTTTGCCTTGTGTTGTGAAATGGTATTCGGATGTTACACATGTTTGACCAGTTTTTGGTTGTGAGACGGTCTAATCTTATGGTTATAGACATTTTGGAATTTTTACTCTAAGGATTGCGATCCTGAATAACTCATCATGTTTTTGGAGACTTCGTTCTCTGGCAGACTCTCTGGGTGCAAGTAGGCCTCAGTTGAGTGTAGCTTAGCTGGTGCAAGTAGGCCTCAGTATAAGCAGTTAGTTCATCTGGGTGCAAGTGGGCCTCAGTATGGACGCGGGTTCGTCTGGGTGCAAGTGGGCCTCAGTGCGGACCGGTGTGGACTTGTCTGGGTGCAAGTGGGCCTCAGTACAAGTGTGTTTGGATGATGAGTTAGGAGTGAAATTTTCTTGGAACGTGCTTATGACATAAGATTATGACGAGTCTCGGGGATCAGTGAGGATCTCCGGTGTTGCGGCCTTGCGAGGTCGGGTTTTGTGGTCTTTGTGACGTTTGTTGGGATTCGAGGACGAATCCAGTTTAGTGGGGGAGAGTTGTAACATCCATAAACCAAAAATTGGGAATTTTGTCGGTTCAATTTAAGTGAATTGGTTTGGGTCGGTTTAGTGGAGAAAGCCCTAAAATCAAGTTTAAAGAGTGCAGCCGTCTTCTCTTTGGAGAATTTTCGAGTTCAGATGCTGTAGAGGAGAAAAGTTGAGTTTTTGGAGAGATTTTCGAAGTTTTACTGTTCATCGGTACTGTTCATCGGGTTACTGTTCATCGGTACTGTTCACGGGTTACTGTTCATCCGCGATTCGGCACTGTTCATCGTCTTCCTTTTTCCTTCAGTTTCAATCATTGTCAAGGTGAGTGCATGACTGTGGGTCCGTGATTTGCTAGATTAGATTTGGTTTGTGGTTGTTCTTGATGAGTTTATGTTTAATTGTTATTTATGATATTTTGGTTGTTTATGTGATGAATTGTGTGTTTGTGTGTTTAATCTGGTTTATTGGTTTAATTGAATTTAATTGATTTAATTGGTTTATCTTGGTTCAATTGAATTTAATTTTATATTGTTTAATTGTTTAATTATTTATTTTATTGGTTTAATTGAATTTAATTGGTTTAATGGAATTAAATAGATTTAATTCGGATTTAATTAATTAAATAATATTTATTTAATTAATTGGTTTAAAATAATTATTTTAATTATTTTAAAATATGGAAAATTATTATTTAATTATGAGAATTATTTAATAATTGAGAAATTGAGTTTTAATTATTAAAAATTATTTAATAATTGGAAAATGGTATTTAATAATTATTGGAGTTTATAAATATTATTAAATATCTAGTAAATTGCGTAAATGGCTCGTAGGCAGAGTGATTGCCTCACTAAGTATTTATTAAATACTTACGCAACTCCATTCCAATGTGTTGCAGGTAAAAGATTTGTGTGATCGCGGAATCAAGGCTGAAGAGGGGGATGATAGGATGTTTACTGTTTTATTGTTTTGCATTATTTTGCTAGACTTGTTTAATTATTATTTGCTTCCGCTGAGCTGATTTATTTGTTATTGATATTTTATTTATTTAATTTATTTTTAAGACCTTCGCTAGAATTGATTAATATTTATAAAAAAAAAAAAATGTTGGTTGTTTCAAATTATATGAACATACACGGTCACGGGTTTTAAGGAGCGTGTTTTCTTCTTCTCTGGAGCAGGAAGAGGAGAAAGTTTGGAGCTTGGAGGTTTTGTGGTGGTGGTTTTGTTCTCGGATGAGCTTGATTTGGACAGATCTGCTGATTTCTTGATCGGAGAAGAAGTGGATTTTGTAGAATTTGAGGGTTTTGTTCCGGAATTGAGCTTCTTGAGCTCTGAGCTGGTCTTAGTCGTGTTAGAAGAAGATTTGGTGGAGTTAAGTTTCTGAGACATACCCGTAGTGGTCTTCGCGTGTTTAGTTTGGTTCTTGGTGGAAGAAGAAGAAGAAGAGATCGGTTTAATGTGTTTGGTTTGATTCTTCTTAGTACTAGATGTTGTTGATGATGATGAAACAGAGCCAGTAAGTTTCTTTTTCTCAGGAGGAGGATTGGTTTCATTTTCATCATCATCACCAATTTCCAGATCTTTCACCAACAATCTTCTCGCCCGGAAATGAGGATCTAAGGGTTGTGTTTGCACAGTTGCACCTCAGTTTCTGATGAGGCCAAACTGAAAGAGAAAGAAGAACAATAGAAGAGAAAGAGAATGAAATAGAGCAACAGGCACCTTCCTTGCAGTGGAGACATGATTTTGCTCTGAAACCTAGGAATCACATTGTTCAAACAGATCTTGCGAAGAGAAATCACAAGCTTGTCAATATATAGGAAAAAGAGAGAGAGAGGCATTAGTGACAGTGTGCATAGGTGTATATAAACGAGCGTTTGTGTGTGGTGAAGTGTGGACGAGAGAGAGAAGATGGAGACTAGAGAATTTACTAATTTCAGTCTTGGGTTTGGGTTTTTATGGTAGGGTTTATTATTGTGAGTGTAGGGTTTAGTGTTTGGTGCGATTTTAAAAATTTTAACGTTTCTAATTATTAAAATATAAAATATCCTTAATTCTTGAAAATATCTAATGAAAAGTGAAATCAGATATAAATAGCAAAACATCTTAGTTGTTTAACTTTTGTACAATAATATCATGAAAATAAAAAAAATGGATTAACTTTAATTATGTTACACATTATTTGCAGAATCACAACAATTACAATAAATTATACAAGTACCAAATATAGTCATGGTCTAATGTATGGATGGGGTGGTGATGGGGTGGTTAGGGTTAGGGTTTCTGGTATACTGTACGGATGGGGGTCTATTATTCTTGGGTTAGGGTTTAGGGTTTATAATGGTGGGTTTAGGGTTTATTTTGTTGTGTGTTTTTAAAAAAATTATGTTTCTAATTACTAAATATAAAAATATCCTTAATTCTTGAAAAGTAATTAATAATAATATAGCCTATTCTTAAAGGAGACAAGAATTATTTGTGTTGTTAATGGTATGAGTTACCAAAAATTAATTTCATATTTATTAAGTTTATAATGATAAATAGATGCCAAACATCTTATTTTATAAAAACACTGCATTAACTTAAATAATGAAATACATTATTTGCAGATCGACAATCATTGCAATGAATTAAACAAAAACGCAAAATATTAATGGTATAACTTACGGGTGGGGTGGGGTGGGGTGTATGGGTGGTTAGGGTAAGTTGGAGAATATGAAGACACAAAAAAGGATACAATAACAAAAATTGGAAAAAGAAGAAGCAGAAAAAAAAAATGATGACAACGAATAAAAAATGGAAGAAAAAAAGAAAATACGGGATCACTGGAAAAGAGTAAGAGGAAAAGAAAACAACCATTACAAAATTTAACTATTTTTTTTGTGCTTTCACAATTTATAAGCTCATATCAAATTAACAAAACGTTAAGCTATTATTTACTTGGAAAATAAACACGTCACAAAAATATGAAAAGTAATTAAAAAGAAAATGTGTTAATCTAATATTAATTGAATTCGTGAATTAACAAAATCTAGACTATCAAATGAATTGATAAGTGAAATTCAAAACATGGAAAAAATGAAAAACATGAGTAAGAGAAAAGAGGACGATGGAAAAGAAGATGGGAAACTTCGAGAAGGAGAGAAGAAAATTTGAACACGAGGAAAAAGAAATCAAAGAAGAAGAATTGGAATGTGAAGAAAAAAAAAGACAAAGAAGAGATAAATAAAAACTATAATAAGATGATGTCAGAGAAGACGAAAATGATAAAGATAGAGAGAGAGGAGAAATGAGGAAGAAGAAAAATCGGAAATAGAATGTAAATAAAATTAGAAAGAAAAATAAGAATACTGAGTTGGAGGATATGAAGACACAAGAAACGATTGAAGAACCAAAAATTGGAATATGAAGAAGAAGCAGATAAAAAAAGATGATGACATCGCATAAAAAAATGGAAGAAAAAAGAAGAAGATGTGATCACTAGAGAATAATAAAAGGGAAAAGAAAACAATCACAACCAATAAAAAAAACAAACTTTTACAAATAAAATAAAAATAGAAGCAAATTCAGAACTAATTTGTAATGTGAGGTTCATGTGTTCGGTTGAGGGGGAGTTATAATGTGGATTTAAATTTAGGGTGTAGGGGGGTTTATAATGTGGAGTTTGGGTTTAGGGTTTATATTGATGGGTGTAGGTTTAGTTTCTGGTGCATCTTTAAAAATTGGAATTATTATAGAAGTATATCGAAATTAAAAATCACTGATTATAAATTTATATTTACCATTCTAAAATACACTTACAAATGAAAAAAAAAACTAAAACAATTAAAGCAAATCATAATCAAAAAGAAAAACACAAATTAAAATATTTTTAAAAGATCTCGACTATATAAAGATAAAAACTATTTCATGAATCTTTGAAAATCTAAACTATCGAATGAATTGATAAGTGAAATATAAGACGTAAACAAGAAGGAATAAAAGCACAAGTAGAATAAAAGAAGATGGTGGTTAAGAAGATGATAAACTTTGAGAAAAAGAAGAAAACTTGAAGAGGAAAAAGAAAAAAAAAATGAAATGAGAAGAGAAAGAAGACGAATAAGAGATAAATAAAAACTAGAATAAGATGATGTCGGAGAAGAGGAAGATGATAAAGATAGAGAGAGGAGAGAATGAGAAAGAAGAAAAACCGGAAAAAGAATGTAAAAAAAAAATAGAAAGAAAAAGAAGAATAGTAAGATGAAGGATGATATGAAGACACAAGAAATGACTGAAGAAAAAAAATTGGAAAAAGAAGAAGCAAAAACAAAATATGATGACAACGAATAAAAACGGAAGGAAAAAAAATGGGATCATTGGAAAAAAATAAGGGAGATGAAAACAACAATTGCAAAATTTAACTAATTTTTTGTGCTTTCACAATTTATAAGTTCATATCAAATTAACAAAATGTTAAGCTATTACTTCCTTGGAAAATAAACACATAAAAATATATGAAAATTAATTAAAAATAAAATGTGTTAATCTAAAAATTAATTGAATTTTTGAATTAACAAAATCTAGATTATTGAATGAATTGATAAGTGAAATACAAAATGTAGACAAGAACGAAAAACATGAGTAAGAGAAAATAAGACTATGGAAAAGGATACGGGAAACTTCGAGAGGAAGAAGAAAACTTGAACACGAGTAAAAGGAAATCAAAGAAGAAAAAAAAGACTAAGAAGAGATAAATAAAAATTATAATAAGATGATGTCAAGAAGATGAAGAGGATAAAGGTAGAGAGAGTGTGAGAATGAGGAAGAAGAAAAATAGAAAAATAGAATGTAAAGAAAATTAGAAAGAAAAATAGAGTATATGATGACACAAGAAACGATTGAAGAACAAAAATTGGAAAATGAAGAAGAAGCAGAAAAAAAAATATGATGACATCGAATAAAAAAAGGAAGAAAAAAGAAGAAGATGTGACCACTAGAGAAGAATAAAGGGAGAAGAATAAAAGAAAGAAGAAAACAACCATTACAAAAAATAACTTTTATAAATAAAATAAAAATAGAAGCGAATTCAGAACTAATTTTTAGTATGAGGTTCATGTGTGGTTTATGGGAGAGTTATAATGTGGATTTAAATTTAGGGTGTAGGTTCTTTAATCAGGGGGAGGGGGATTTATAATGTGGGGTTTGGGTTTAGTGTTTATATTGATGGGTGTAGGGTTTAGTTTCTGGTGCATTTTTAAAATTTTTAATTATGAAAGAAGTATATCAAAATTAAAAATCACTGATTATAAACTTATATATATACTCACAAATAGAAAAAAAAACTAAAAAAATTAAAGAAAATCCATAATCAAAATATAACAACACAAATTAAATAGATTTTTAAAAGATCTCGACTATATAAAGTTAAAGACATAGACAAGAAGGAATAAATACAGAGGTAGAATAAAAGAAGACGGTGGATAAGAAGATGAGAAATCTCGAGAAGAAGAAGAAAACTCGAAGAGAAAAAATAAAAATAAAAAGAAGGAAAAATTAAATGTGAAGAGAAAAAAGACAAATAATAAATAAATAAAAACTAGAATACGATGATGTATGAAGATGATAAAGATAGAAAGAGGGGGTATGATCAAGAAGAAAAATCGGAAAAAGAATGTAAAGAAAATTAGAAAGAAAAAGAAGAATATTAAGTTGGAGGATATGAAGACAAAAAAACAATTGAAGAACCACAATTGGAAAAAGAAAAAGCAGAAAAAGATGATGATAATTAATAAAAAAATGGAAGAAAAAAGAAAAGATAGAATCACTGTAAAAGAATATGAAGGAGAAGAAAATAACTATTACAAAATTTAACTAATTTTTTGTGCTTTCACAAATTATATATTCATATCAAATTAACAAAATGTTTAGCTATTACTTTCTTGAAAAATAAACACGTCACAAAAATATGAAAAGTAATTAAAAAGAAAATGCATTAATCTAATATTAACTGAAAATATTGGAATTCTGAAACATCTCTTGTCCGCGCCTGGCGCGGGCCAACCACCTTGTATAGTATGTATATTCGGAAAACAAAAGCAAAATGAAACCCGTGCCACAATGATATCTTTTATCCATGTTTCTATGATCAAAAATGTTATTTTACTATTATCAAAACCTAAATGTTGCAGGTTTAAGATCAAGTATTAGCGGTTAAATTTAATCGGGTATCAAAAATTATTATCCAAAATTTATCCAGAAAATAAAATTTGGATACAATTAGATTGGTCGGATATCTAAAACTATTACCCAAAATTTATTCGTAAAATAAAACTTAATGAGAAAAACAGACATCAGTTTTTATTCTAAGATATTTGATTAACCTCATTTTAACTTATTTCATTTGAA